GTACCATAGTACTGTACTGTTAGATGTATTATTATCATTTTTAAATGTTTACTTACTTATTTTGAATCAGTTTTTCTATTTATTCATTTGCATCTCATTTTTATATTTTTTAGTTATTTATTTTAAACAATTTTCTGTTTTCATTTATTTTTACCTAATTTATTTCTTATTTATTTTAATCAAATTGTTAAGTATCCGAATCAAATTTTTATTATTTATTTGAATCTATTTATAAATTTATTCGAATCTATTTGATTTATTTTGACATTTTTTACACAGTTTTAAAAACTTTTTTTTTACTTTTTTGTTGTCTTCTTGCAGGTCAAACAGAATCGTTCCCACTTCGAGTGATCGCAGCTATTGCTTTTGTGGTTGTGTTTGTCCTGTTACTTATTTTTGTTGTGGTGATGAAGTGCTACTTTAGAAGACCACAAACCTCAGGTACACAAGAACACACAAACTGATTTATCAAGAGACATCGAACTATATGAGTTATTAGTAACCCTTCAAATCTCCATTAGACATCTGAACATGTTTTTTCATTTCTCTTTTCCACAGAGGATCGAGCTGAGGGAGTTGACGTTCCTTTAGCGTAGGTATCTTCTCACTACGTTCTCATATCACCAAAGCAGCAGTTCACCCAAAAATGTTTTTACATTTACTCACATCTTCTTTCAAATCTGTACGAGAAATATAGCGAATGTATGAGTGGCTGTTTTCCAGGTAATTACAATGAACAATGAAAAAAATAAAATAGACATTAAATAAGATAAAAATATATAATTGTAAATAAAATCAAAACATTTTATTTAAGCTAGCTGACAAGGCAATATTTCTCATTTTCATTTAGTTTAACTTGATGCAATAAAATAACAAAACTGTATTCTATATGCACTATATTCCACATCTTCTGAAGTCATTTGATAACTTTGTGTGAGATGCAGAATGAAATTGAACTCACTGAAAATCTTGACATTGTTTTTGCATGGAAAATAGCCACTAGAACGTTCAAATTTGTAATTAAAAGTAATTAATTTGGTTGATTTTTGGGTGAACTGTTCCTTTCGTACTCAACTGATGTCATGTACCATTAACGCCAAGAATAACCAATGAAATTCCTGTATTTCTAACTAGCGACTGCCATTCACAGCTTCAGAGCGTCTGAGACGTGACAACGAAACACTCAGGAGATTTTCGCCATTCTGTCAAGCGGAAGTGCTTCAGCACCCAGAGCTATAGGGACAATTGTCCAGCTGAGCGTTGTGTCTTTAAAGCGGCTTCACTTTCGTATTGAAGCAGGCTCCGACGGACGCTTTCACGCAGCAATGCTGGACTGTCCTGGCACATTTGAACAAGCTTTTAAGAATGTTCCCTTCCTTTCCCCAGTCATTCATTTGGAAGAGCACATCATTTCCCCGGTGTCCTGAAGATGCAGTGGGCTTGTTTTCATTTGGGTGCAAATTTATTTCAGGTTTATGTTGCCGGAAGAGGGATTTATAATGGTGCTTATTAAAAGATTCAAAGTTTCATGGCTAAAATTGCTCTGTATACTTCGCAATCTCCCGTATTTCTCATTCCAAGGAGTGGGAATTTTAAAGTTCAGAACTTTTTCAATGACTGAACTGAAGTAAATATGCTGATTTGGGCCAGTTGTATGGTTGGTACAATAACCAAGACAGTTTTGATGACTGTTGTCTATGTTCATTTAAGAATATGATGTTGAAATGGTCTTACGCTGGCACATTTCATTAGCTTCTAGAAGCCGATTTATTTGAAGCTTTATTTTTTAAAGCCAGTTCTCAGATGAGCTAAAGAACCATAATTCATAGAAATCAAATACAGTTACATGATTTTGCTGGTCATTCCCCAAAATGCATGTTTACCATCGCATTACTGTACGCCAACCTGCTATGTGATGTCCACATCTGTCTGTTCATGTGTACAGTACTGACTTTTTTACTTTTCTACTCCACCGCACTGACATTTAAAATATTTTTTTTTATTGTGAAACTGTTCTCAAGTTTACAGTAATGGCTGGGATATTTAATTTTCAATTAAAATGAAATCTGTTTCCGTGTGGAAATGTCTTATGCACTTTGCTTTCTGACTGCTTGAAGACTCCTACTGTAATTTATGACTAAATTATTCTGTGTATTTCTCAAAAAAAAAAAAAAAGATGAAATAAAAAATAAAATAAAATAAAAATCTGTTTGTCAATGATCCCTGACTCTGATCTCCTAATTAGCATCTCAAATTAAAGATTTTCAGTAGTTAGCTTTTCAGAAACGTTCTTGATTATGGTGATATTTCATTTATTTCAAGACTTTTCATTAGATTTGGTGACATTCAAAAGACTATTAAGCCCAAAGTACTTCGGGTTTTACACGTCTGCAAGATGTCTGTTAAAGATCACATCATCTGGAAAGCATCTGCTGTGTAAACATCTGACAAAGATGTCAATTTTACATAGGCTACATTATTGACATTACATTTACATTTAGTCATTTAGCAGACGCTTTTATCCAAAGCGACTTACAAATGAGGACAATAAAAGCAGTCAAAACTAACAAAAGAGCAACATCCAGCGTCAAAACATACCTAACCAGCATATGCTGTTTTTTTCAACAGAGATCAGGGTTAGCATATCGCTAATATTTTTTTATAATAACCTATTTCTTGTGCGCATGCGTCGAGTGTATGTACGCGAAAAAAATAAATAATAACTGAATGTGAATAGTTCACGTTCAAGTGTGTGTTTAGTTTTAACCAGTAGGAGGGTTAACAGAAAAAGTCCATTAGTAGCCTAGTTAGCGGTTAGCGCTGGTTGAGTTGACAGTAGTTTGTCTGTGGTTCCAGTGAGTTCTACAACATTTCCAAGTGTTTTATGTAAGTACATTTACAAGACATCGTATTTTGAAGGATGTAAGTATTAGCTAGTCTCCACAATTAAATGTGTTGTAGGGTCTGTTTTCAAAATGCTTCAAGGAGTTAATATTAACTGTAGTAAGCTATATTTGTTTCTAAGATCAGTTAGATAGTAATAGTAGAGCTTAGTAGAGTTTACAACCCTGATTGGTTGGTTGTTGTATGGATTGAACATGTCTTATGATCCCAGAAAGCACATCCCTGTTGAAAAAAACAGCATATGCTGGTTAGGTATGTTTTGACGCTGGGATGCTGGTTTAAGCTGGTCCTTTGCTGGTTTAAGCTGGTCCTTTGCTGGTTTAAACTGGTCCTTTGCTGGTTTAAGCTGGTCCTTTGCTGGTTTATTCTGGTCCTTTGCTGGTTTAAGCTGGTTTATTCTGGTCCTTTGCTGGTTTAAGCTGGTTTATGCTGGTCCTTTTGCTGGTTTATGCTGGTCCTTTGCCAGCACATGACCAGCATAAACCAGCAAAGGACCAGCTTAAACCAGCAAAGGACCAGCTTAAACCAGCAAAGGACCAGCTTAAACCAGCAAAGGACCAGCATAAACAAGCAAAAGAACAGCTTAAACCAGCAAAGGACCAGCATAAACCAGCACATGACCAGCGTCAAAACATACCTAACCAGCATATGCTGTTTTTTTCAACAGAGATCAGGGTTAGCATATCGCTAATATTTTTTTATAATAACCTATTTCTTGTGCGCATGCGTCGAGTGTATGTACGCGAAAAAAATAAATAATAACTGAATGTGAATAGTTCACGTTCAAGTGTGTGTTTAGTTTTAACCAGTAGGAGGGTTAACAGAAAAAGTCCATTAGTAGCCTAGTTAGCGGTTAGCGCTGGTTGAGTTGACAGTAGTTTGTCTGTGGTTCCAGTGAGTTCTACAACATTTCCAAGTGTTTTATGTAAGTACATTTACAAGACATCGTATTTTGAAGGATGTAAGTATTAGCTAGTCTCCACAATTAAATGTGTTGTAGGGTCTGTTTTCAAAATGCTTCAAGGAGTTAATATTAACTGTAATAAGCTATATTTGTTTCTAAGATCAGTTAGATAGTAATACTAGAGCTTAGTAGAGTTTACAACCCTGATTGGTTGGTTGCTGTATGGATTGAACATGTCTTATGATCCCAGAAAGCACATCCCTGTTGAAAAAACCAGCATATGCTGGTTAGGTATGTTTTGACGCTGGGATGCTGGTTTAAGCTGGTCCTTTGCTGCTTTGCTGGTTTAAACTGGTCCTTTGCTGGTTTAAGCTGGTCTTTTGCTGGTTTATGCTGGTCCTTTGCTGGTTTAAACTGGTCCTTTGCTGGTTTAAGCTGGTCCTTTTGCTGGTTTATGCTGGTCATGTGCTGGCAAATGACCAGCATAAACCAGCAAAGGACCAGCATAAACCAGCATCCCAGCGTCAAAACATACCTAACCAGCATATGCTGTTTTTTTCAACAGGGATGTACGTCTGCAAGATGTCTGTTAAAGATCACTTCATCTGGAAAGCATCTAAACATCTGATAGACGTCTCTAAAATGTCAGTTTTACATTAATTCTAAATCATAAACATCTTAAAGACATTTTCTAAACGTCTATTTGACTTCTGATAGGAAACGTCCCATAGACATATTGCAGATGAGCAAACATACAAAATACAAAAATACGTCTTGCAGATGTCAAACAGACGTCTCTGTGATGTACGTGTGCTATCAGGGATGTAAGAAATATGTTTACTTTTTTATTTTTTAACTTTTTACTGCCAAGTGCCAAAAGTCTAACTTGACTGAGGGCTATGGGCTGAAAGTAAATGTTGTATTATATTCAACTATATTAGAATTGAATCAAATTAAATGTTAAAACAAAACAAAAATGTTAACACAAAAAGATACGTTAGAAATGAAGATATGCTTCAATGGTGTGTTTCCCCTCTATTTTTCCCCCACAAGAAAGTGGAAATGATGGGCCAAATTAAAGGTCATCACGGGCCAGTCTGGGAATCTTTTCTCTGATGGACACAATAAAGTCCCACTTTTTCTTTTGTTTTACATTATGACAGTAAATGCGTTGCAAATGCCACTTCATGTTCATTTCAAAAGTAGCATTTACTGTTATTGTAGCTTATTTCCTGGAAATTATGCATACAAATATCAGACAACCATCACTAACTGTTAAGTGTCTCAAAATTTTACTTTATTGCTGTTTATTATATAAAGATATACATTTGAAAATAAAATCTGATGATTTTTAAAGGGATGCAACACAAATCTAAAAGTAATTTTCATTGCATGTCACTGCAAAAGTCTGTTGTTCTGTAATGGGTTTATCTGTAGTGCTTCAAATGACCAGTAGGGAGCAGCATCATATTAGAAACTGAGTGATGTGACTTTTGTGAAACATTTTAATCCACAATCATTAGATAAAAACAGGTATTTATTCTAAAATGACCATTTACCCTACTATGCAAATGTTTTGGGCCATAAAACATGGTCATTTAAAATTCCCATATTGATAATGTAGCCTATATCTATGTTTAGTTTCACTCAGCGTATTAAAGCATTTCAAGACTAACCACCCATGAAAGAGCTAAAACCATCTGACATTGTCTTACAAGAAACCTTGAGACACCACACTTCACCATAGTGTGGTGACCCCGAGGGGGAAAGTTGGACCGGAGGATAAATCTTTGTCCAAATCATTCTGGGTGGAGGAATTTTAAAACGACCTAAAAAAGAGTCGAGCCACTAATTCTGCGAACAGAGATTTGCTACCTAATGCCCAAAACAATCCTTTAATTATAGTCACATAGTCCAGATTTACTAGGGTCACAAGGTGTGTGAACCTACAGGAGTTTTAATAGTGAAGTATACCTCAATAAACAAAAGATGCACATGGACTCTGGAAGTTTAATTTTTCATTTGATACAAAAGCATTCTTAAATAAATTCATTTTTGTTCAGTTTCTTAGTTTTTACAAAGATAAATTAGCATTTCATAACACAAAAATAACATATTACAACTACAAACATCAGTTTATGTACAAATGGATCCAGAAGTCCTTCATGAAATCCAGGACTGTACCACCTGCATGTGAGTTTTTGAGGCACTTTTAAAAGGTTTAAGAGTTTATCATCGGTCAATACATTCATCGACCCTACGGGAGGCCCCGTACGGCACGGTCAGTGATTGTCACGTGTCATTTTCAGAGTGAATGTGTGTCTGACAGCGCAAAAACACAAAACAAAAAGTCCCATCATAGCTTTGTCATATCAAAAATAGACTAACTAAATAGTGAAGGAAATCTCTGCTATAATGCGTTCACGTTTTGTTGAGTTTCTGACCTGTAAAAACCATTCATGGAAACTCGCTTGAGCATTGTGACGTCATGCAAGACGTAAAATGACAGGAAAATGTCAACAGTTAGTTAGTTAGCAACCTCTACACATACTTCTGACATGCCATTGCACACTTTCTGCTACAATTTTTCGCATATCCAACACGATGTGAACGTAGCATTAACAAGTCTCGTAAGCATTCCGGCAGCTGTGATGTGTTGCGAGGTAAACGGCGCTGACCGCTGAGGAGTAAAGAACTACGTTTTCCAGAATCGGCTGAGTAGCTCGTCCACGAAAACGAAGGCACTTCAGTGAGAGTTTGACGTAGTGCATATTTACACGGAAAAACTGCTGCAACAGGACCGTCCAGTGTAAGATCATCTTAAGAACATTTCACGTAAAGTGAACGAACGATAGTGCTACATGGGCGTGGGCGCCTCTGTCTCTTTATCACACAACCGTCTCGTTGCCTTTGCCCGGTTTGACCCAGCCATTGGCGGTCCGTTTGACGCGATTGTTTCGGCCAGTGTGCACGAGTCGGTGGGAACATCGCTGCCACGTGTGAAGCGTTTTGGCGGACCAAACCCACATTCCCGATGTGATTCCCACCAGCAGAGACATAAAAATCCGCAGCATCTCCGCCGCCATGTACGAATCCCTCGCCGACTGGCGAAAGTCGGCCCAATTGGAGATTTCGTAGAAGTAGCACGCAATGACGCAAGTGGCCGGCACTGTGTAGAGCACTGAAAACACGCCAATTTTTACCATCAGCCGCTCTAGCTTATCTGTCTTCGTCCCGTCCTTTTGCAAATTCGAGCGGATTTTGAACAGCGCAACCAAGCCGGCGGCAATGAACAGCGTCCCAATTA